ATAGGAAGGAAGGACCCTGATAGAAGCCAGTAGACCCCCTCCATAGATTGTGAAGACTGATAAGAGAGTCCCCATATACCATGATAGCTAAATTTCACAAGACAGAGGAGTAAGAGGAAAGTGTTTCTCTAAAGTTACTTCCAGAGAGCTGCAGAAGTTTTCTATGAGTATTCACCTGTGTTTTGCTAATAAGCAAATAAACCAACAAAGGAGATTATATCAGATCATAGAAAGCATACAATTATTCAAAAATTTAAATAAATAAATAAATAAAATGGAACAAAAAAGATAGGACAAATGGAAAACAAATAATAGAGTAGACTTAAACCTAACTACATCATCAACCACATTAAATTTAAATAGTCTAAACAATCCAACTAAGAGACAGAGATCATCAGAATGGATTTAAAAAAAAAGAACCAGATGTGTGCCACCTGCAGGAAATGTGCTTTAAGTATAAAAATGCAAATAGATGAAAATAAAGGGGCACGAGGAAACTTCTGGAGTTAATAGATAGGTTCACTATTTTGATTGTGGTAAAGTTTTCACAGTTGTATACATATGCCAAAACATCATATTGTATACTTTATGTGCAGAATTTTGCATGCCAGTTATACTTCAAAAAAGCTATTTAAAAATAATAATGGTGTACACAGGGAGAGGTAAGTAGTCTAATTTCTGTAGCAGCAGGTGGTGAGTTTGGAAAAATAGGTATGAGCTCAACCATGAAGGTATTTAAATGGTAAAATAAATTTGGACTGTATGCTAGAGACCAGGTGTTAGCAAACTTTTCCTTTGTAAAGAGCCAAATAGTATATATTTTATGCTTTGCAGGCCAAGAGTAAAAACCAAAGATATCACATACCTATATAATCATTTAAAAACATAAGAACTGTTTTTTAGCTCATAAGCTTTACAAAATCAAGCAGTGGGCCAAATTTGGCCAAAGGGCAATAGTTTACCAACTTCTAATACAGACAATACAGAGTAGCATGGTCATCTGTATGGTTTAGAAATATAACTGGCAGTAACTGTGGAGTAGATTTGAGTAGGAAGAAATCAGAGGTGGGCAGACCTGAGAAGAATGCAGTAGTCTTAAGAAATGTGGATTTACATAAAAATCCTGTAGTATTATGGATGAGAACTAAAAGATAGAATCACTATAGAACTTCTTTATCCATTCATCTGTTGACAACCATTAAGTTGTTTCCATATCTTGACTATTGTGAATAATGCTGCAATAAACATGGGAGTTCAAATATCATTTTGATATCCTGTCTTCAGTTTCTTTTGATATTTACCTAGAAGTGGGATTGCTGGATCATATGGTATTTCTATTTTTAATTTTTTGAGGAACTTTCATACTGTTTTCACAGTGGCTGCACCAATTTAAATTCCCACCAATAAAACACAAGGTCTCCCTTTTTTCCAAATCTCTGCCAATACTTACCTCTTGTCTCCTTGATGATAGGCATTCTAACAGGAGCAAAGTGTTATCTCATTTTGGTTTTAATCTGCATTTTCATGATTAATGATGTTGAGCGTCTTTTCATATACCTATTGCCCATCCTATGTCTTCTTTAGAGAAATATCTATTCAGTTCCTCTGCCC